ACGGGACCCCAGGCAGGGTGCCGTAACGCTGAGGCAGGCAGACGTAGCCCTTGCCCCCTTCAGATGAAGAGGGTACAGTGAGGTGAAAAGCCAGAGGGAGGGCTTGGGCCCGCGTCGTGTCGCTCACTCTGTGTGAGCATTGAGACAGGGCCACGTATGCTGGATCCCATTCATTCGGAGGGCAAGACTCATGCGTGCAAGTGAACATGATTAACAAGCCACACGTCTGCAGTGTGCACACATTCGGTTTGCGTGTATGATAGAGCCTTACCGGGTGATACAGCTCTGCCATGCCCCGCACGCTAATTGCCTGGCACGCGGCAATCAGAGCAAAGGTTACTGGCACATCAGAAATAGAAAAGACAGAATCATTAGCACCGTCAGGCTCTGCAAACAGTGGATGTTCTCAGAACTTGCGGGATCGTCTTCATGGCTACAAAGTGGAGAAAGAAATCCATCACAAAATCTATCCAGATAATTTTGTACACTCAATTAGCTCCACCCATGAATAATGTAAATTTAAAATAAGTAATAAGGCCTTAGCGCACTTCCTGTGTTACTCTGCATCCCATCAGCCCTTTCTGACCATACAGACTGGCGGTGATCACAGTTGTGGGTTTCATTTAATTTATATGGCTCAGTGAAGTGTATTTTATGTACGAAAGCTGTTACCCATGCTACTATAGTAGTGGTGGTGGTCTTTTCTTTCCAAAATAATTTTTTTTTCACTTTGGAGTCTACACACACAAAGTTTTAGAGTGTACTCGCATGTTCGCTCATCAAGAATGTTAGTTTACTGTTTTTTCTTCTTTGCGGAAATAGTTACCAGTTTTAAAGTCTTAACAAATGAAGAAGCTAATATGTTCATCTTGTTCTTACTGTGATGGTGGAGTTTTTCTCCCACTTAGGACATAAGAGAACATTGTTTTTATTTTAAGAAGGAGAAAAGGCCAAATGATCTACAAAGTAGTGACTTCTCTTAAATCCCAAAGAGTGGCAGCTCTCTGGAGGAGAGAGGACACTTGAGCTGGTTCACATGTGGCAGGGCACAGGGGGACAAGTGATCTCCGTAGAAGTGCTGAAGAGGAAATCAGCTGAAATTTTAATGAATTCGTAAGTTTGAACACTGGTGTTTGTGTTCTAAACATCAGTTTAGAATAACTAGGTACCCCAGATACAAGGGGAATTTGCGCTTACCTGACACACTCTTTCTACAGGCCTCCACCGGGGTGCTCTTGAGAAGCATTAGGGGCAAGCCTGGAGGCCAGAGAGGATTTTTTTGGTGCTGCAGCCCTGTGGAGGTTCATCTCAGCTGCCTCCAGGGAACCAGCATGATGTCATGTCTGCTTCCCCAGAGCCGCCTCTCCTGTGACACAAAAGTTGCTGGGAGGGCACCAGACCCTCTATCCTCTAGGACTTAGCAAAGATCTGCTTCTGCAGACAACTGGGAAACCTCCTTTCATGCTCCCCGTGACCAGCAAGATCCTCTGCTTCTGGGGCAAAGGGTAGTAGCAAAAGCAGGACAACCTCTTAGGTCTGTGATGTTTTACTGATGCAAAGCAAAGGTGCTTCTGCGCAAGAGGGACAGGAACTCTCCCATGCGCAAGACAGGGACACGTGTAAGGCAGAGTTCAGTTGCCATGGGGAAGAGAGCCACAGAACCTGAGGAGGCACCCCTCCGAGGCCCAGGTGCACAGTCCTTCCTAAGATTTAGGCTGGACCTGTGTGCTAGCCCCGTGCCTGTTCTGTCCGGTCAGCGTGGTGGTGTGGATCTCTTTCCTCTCCTGGGCCCAGCATTTCGCAGCTGTTGTCTTTCGTTACCGGCTTGGCATCCGGGGAGAAGGGATGCATGTGGCACGATGGGGCGCTGGGGAGGCACCTGCCGCCCTGTAGGAGAGAGGCTTCTGCAGAGTCTTCCAGTTTGGCCCAGGACAAGCCCAGAGGGTTCTGGGAGGAGCAGTGGGTAGGTGTTTGGACTCAACAACGTCCTGGGCATTCATCTAGAATTCCCCATCCCATTTTCAGGACGCCAGGTTTTCTCTTTCAGGTCTTGGACTGCGTGCCAACACCTGCCTTGGCCGAGCCCCCGCTCTGACGCTCGCGTTGGGCCGTCAGCCCGCAGTTCCCGTGGTGTCAGCCTTTCCAGTATGGGTCGTGGTGAGGGCCACATTGTTCCCACCAGGAAGGCCCTATTGTTCTCAGCTAAGCCGTTAACAGCAGTTCTGTCTCTCATTATCCCTTTGCAAGGCAGCAGTACAGCTTGGCAGTTATTAGCCAGCTCTGTTTTTCCCTCCGAATCTTCCAAGTGTCTGTTATTATGCCTGACACGGCATATCCGTCCACGGGAACATTTGCAGGTCACCGCCAGTGAAATCTGTAGCAATGAGCCAGGACTTGTGCCGGGGACTCACTGTGGCCCCATCTGTCTATCGGCCAGGACTGCATCCCTCTCACCTGCAGAGGGATGTGTGAGCAAGTCCTCAACCCCCGTCTCGCCACCGGCTTTCTCAGACCCTTCTCAGGCCACTTGTGTTCATCTGGGTCTGAGAAACAGACACCAGGAGGGGATCACAGCTGCAAGGATTTGACTCAGGAAACCACCCATGTGAAAGGAAAGAGGGCGGGAGCTGGGAAGCTGGAAGAGCCATCAACCCACAGTGCAGGCCTGACCTTGCAGGGGAGCAGACAAGGTTGGTGGGAGCCTGCTCTCCTGGTCTGCCGGGAGCTAAGGGAGGTTGGGCACAGCCTTGGGGAGTCCTGGCCTTTCGCTCAGCTCTGCTCTGCCGGATTCTCTCAGTTACTTCATTCTCATTTCTTGCTGTGGACTAACTCTGTCAATCTCCATTTCGTGTGGAGGGAGTTACCTGTCTCCACTGTTGAAGAGAGCAGCCAGACCAAGCTGGGTATCCTGGTCCCACTTCCAAATTCCTAGGGAAGGACCCTGGCCCAGTTTCAGTTGTGTCTGGAATCTAGTTCACAGTTATGTGAACCAGGTTGTCTCTCACTAAATTGAGACATTTCCCAGAAAAGTTGGACAAACTATGGGCCTAACACTAATCTCTTATGTAACCTCTAATAATACTTAAACATTTCATTAGCGACCTTTTATTCTTAGCATGTAGACTGACTCTGAAGAATGACTTGGATGGGCTGTAGGGACAAAGGGACTGAGGGGGGTACTTAAGTTGGTGACTAACCGGATTAGTTCATTACATGTTTGTTTTTATAATTGCAAAGTGTTTTCAGGAGTAATGACTGACCCAGTATTTTTTCCTTTGCCTCTTCCTTGCTCTTCGGTATATTCAAAACTGAATTAGTGTCAGATAAAATAAAGGCTGTCAGGGAAAAAAATATGTATGTCAGAGTACTCTTACCATTTAGACATGGTTTGTACCCCTTCTGCCCAACTCATGTTGGAATTTGATGCCGGTGTGGGGGGAGGTGTTGGGTGTGGGGGGAGGTGTTGGGTGTGGGGGGAGGTGTTGGGCGTGGGGGGAGGTGTTGGGTGTGGGGGGAGGTGTTGGGTGTGGGTGTGGGGCCCTCAGGATAGATTAATGCCCTCCCTGGTGGGCCAGTGAGCTCTCAGGCTTGTGGCAGTGGATTAGTTCCCAGGAGAGTGGATTGTTGAGGAGTCTGGTTTGCTTGGTTTCTCTTACTGTTTCTCTCTCTCCTGTGATCCACTTTCCACCCTTCCTGGACAGCGCAGGCAACCTGAGGCCCTCCCCAGATGCATCTGCTCACTTTTGAACTTTCCAGCCACCAGGATCCTGAGTCAAATAAACTTCTTTTCTTTATGAGCTACTCAGTGTCAGGTGTTCTGTTAGAGCAACACTTCAAGTTGACAAAGACGAGTACTCCACACTGAACTGGAAAGCCATAAAAATCATTGCTAGGTGATTAGGACTTTAAAGAGGAGCTGTGGAACTTTTTCTAAAACTGTAGACAGCTCTCATGGCCTCTCTGTTGGCTTTGTATTTACGTGCCTGTCGGGGCTCCAGATAAAAGTATAATGATAATGAAAAATTAGGGATGGAGGTTGATTAGTTAAGGTTGAAATACTAGAACAACAATAGATGAGGTGCCCCAAGAGAAGGCCAAATAGAAATATATATGTGTATTTGTAATCAGAAGACCTTTTTTTTTTTTTTAATTTCAGACTATTACAGGAGGTACAAATGTTTTGGTTACATGGATTGCTTTTGCACTGCTTGAGTCAAAGCTGTAGGTGTGCCCATCACCCAGATAGTGCATGTTCCCTTTAGGTATGATTTCATTTTTTGAATAATCAGGTTGTTGAGAACCGTTGAAGGCATTGTGGGAAACATGGAACTCATAGGCTCAGTCCCACATTCAGACAGCTTAGAATCCACCTGCAAAGAAAAGACAACCAACCGTCAGTCCTGCTGGTACCAGGCACAGAGGCTCCTGCAGGTTGCTTAGAATAGCAAGTGGGGAAACGAAGGACGTGCTCACCTATTGTCTCTTCTGAATCCTCAGACTTCTCTGCTGTTTTAAGATATAGTGAGGCTGACCAAGGAGGAGATGATTGCCATTGCAAAGATAGTTTTGTTACTCGTGGTTCCCAAGATGAGGGCAGTGCACCACCCAGGGCCATGCTGGGCAGCACCCGGGTTGGTCGGGGGGCAGAGGGGGAGCCGTGTGCAGGAGCCTTCATGGTGGCTTCCATGGGAAGGAATGGGGAGGAGAGAGAGGGAGGGAGGTAAAAATGCATGTATTTGGTCTTGCATGCTTAACTGGAAATCCGGTGTATATTATTTTTTATAAAAATAGTATTTTATATATATATATATATCTCTTTGAAATCTATAAAAGTCATTGAAGTAATTCACCATTGGTTGCATTTTAGCTGATTCACGTAAAAATGATAAGATAATGAAAATTCCTAGGAAATAGTTCATTTTCAAGGGAATGAAAACTCTAGGTTCGTTAAAATGTGAATATGAGCTTATTAAAAAAAAAACCATCTTTTTAATTTTCAGATTGTGAGCCATGCCTTTAGTGAAGAGGAACATCGAACCCCGGCACTTGTGCCGGGGCGCTCTGCCCGAAGGGATCACCAGCGAGCTCGAATGTGTCACCAACAGCACTCTGGCCGCCATCATACGCCAGCTGAGCAGTCTGAGTAAGGCGCCTTTCTTTCTGACTACCAGTGACATTTTATTAATCTTGTGTTCGCAAATTGATTTCAATTTGGTGCTAAAGTGATTGTCCAAAGAAGAGACTGCAGCCTTAAAGGAAAGAACTCCCTCCCTCTGCATTTCCCAGTGCGAGCTTCGCCGTTGCACCTGTTGTTGCCGCTTCAGGTGACGACAATGTAAAGTCGTTACCAACTCACAGTTTATTAGGTGGCACCCAATGCATAGATTTAAAATAGTGTTAATTTTTAGAAGCTTGTAAAAATGAAGATAAGATAGTTGGTAATTTTTTTTTTTTAGACTTTAGTGAATTGTTTTGTTAAACGTGAACAGGACCCGTTGTTTTTTTTAAAGATTTAGTAGATTGAAAACTAGTTAGCACTTGTAATATGGCACATAGTATATACTCAATGAATATTTGTTGATTGGATAATATTCCAAATTAATCATAGAATAAAGCCAAAAAGCAATAAGATGTGCTGATTTTTAACCTACTAAAAGTGAAAATACAGGTACTGAGTTCCATATTGAGGTCAGCAAAGAAGCTGATTATTACACATATGTGGTACCTTGTACATATTTGTATGTATAGATTTATGGCAAATATATGCATAAGAAAGAAAAAACTTCCTATTATTCTAATTTTGAATGTGAATATTAAATACCCAAGGAATATTCCATTTTTTAGGACTTGAGTGTGTAACTACTTTTTTCCTCAAAGCTTTTTAAAGTTGCAATATTTTTCTCCTAACATTTAATGAATTTATATAATGATCTTGTTTTCTCACTTCATCCTACTTTTTGGTTTAGATGGTTTACATGGCATTTTTGGTGACAGGTTTTCATAGTTAAATTTTTCAGGAACTCTGTTAATAACTAGAAAATCCTCCATGAAGTTCCACCTACTGGTAGGTAGCCTCAAGCACAGAATTTTTTTAAAACTCAAGTACATTTATTTATTTTGAAAAAGAAACACTGCGGGTATTTGTTTCTTTAAAAGAATTGTACTGTATTATTAATGATATATTTTTGATATATTTATATCATTGGCTAAGGCTAAAGTAACTTGTGAATTACTTAAAATGTTTTTCAAATAGATTTCTTCTGGAATCTAAGCTAATTACAATTGATTTTTGGTAGTGGTTATCGATAAAATATACAAATTCACATAATTATATGAAGATTTCTTATAAATTATTGAAGGATAAAATGTTTCTGTTTGCATTCATATGTTTTTGTAGGAATGCTTTAGTCTCTTGTTTTTATGAATTGTCTGTTGACACAAAGGATGGCTTTCCACTCCCACTCAGGGTGTGTATTGTGGGGGTGTCCTTAGAGGGCACCCTCCCTTTCTGCAGGTTCCCTGAGTGCATCCGGGGCTTGCAGTCCAAAGAGGCTTACAAAAAGAGAAATACAGTGATATGTGTGGCAAGGATATGAATTTAGAAGACTAAGAAGACCGAGTGCAGTGTTTGCCCAAAATTCGTATGTTGAAATTCTACTCCTCAAGTGTGATGGGCTTTGGAGCTGGGGCCTTTGGGAAGTGATACGGTGTGAGGGTGGCGTCCTCATGAATGGAATTAAGTGCCCGTGTTAAAGAGGCCTGAAAGAGACACCTTCCCCTTCTGCCATGTGATGACGCAGCAGGAAGTCACTGTCCTGAAGCAGAGAGCAGCCTTCACTAGACACCGAGTCTGTTGGCACCTTGATTGTGGACTTCCCAACCTCCCGAACTCTGAGAAATAGAATTCTTTTATTTATAAGCCTCCTGGTATATCGTATTCTGTGTGGTAACTCAAATTGACTGGTACACTGAGTTATTAACTGGTGGTAGGATAGCAAATTAGATTATCAGTAGTTTGTTTATTAGTGGTTATTCACTGAGTACCCCTGTAGGTACAACAGATGGCAAATAAAATTGATTTGCTTTCTACTTAGAAGTTAAAGACATTTATACTTTGTTTATAATTTAGAAACTCAGCATGGTCATAAAGTAGGAAACATTTGTAATTATTATGACCTTCTCCAAGACAACACTAGCACATAGTAAATGACATCTGTGTTTTGGGTGAATTTTTAGTTTTTGTGGGTTTTCCACTGGGTATTAATACACTTTATGATCTAAAGTTGTTGGGAAGAATAAGAGAATTTAAAAGAATATTTTTATGTTATTTTCTCATTTTGAAATCATTAGATATTTTTAAAGTAATGTTTTAGAAGTACATGAATCTATCATATCTTTATCATAGGAATGAATACTTCTTTTACTGAGTTTTCATTGCTATGATAAAGTCAAAACATAATCTTTTTTTTATCCCTTTGTGTATTTGACCATTATTCAGTAGGTCTAGATGAGAATGGACCATCTTAATCTTCCCTGGTTCTCTGCTCACCCTCCTGCAGCTAGCATGTCATGTCTGGTTTTCATCAGAAAGTTGCAAGGCATATAAAAGGCAGAAGACAGTTTGAAGAGCCAGAGTAAGCATCAGAACCGGATTCAGATATGGCAGAGATGTCAGACTGGGAATTTAAAGTAGTTATGATTAATATGCCAAGGGCTCTAATGGAAAAAGTAGGCGACATGCAAGAAGAAATGGATAATGTAATCAGAGAATCAGAGAATCAAATATACTGATAAGAATCAAATTGATTCTAAGAATCAAATACGTTGAAGAACATAGTTGGAAAAGGTGAACAACCTTTGTGAAGAAATAGGAATTTCAGCAGAGAAATGGCAACTATTTTAAAAAATACTTGAGCTGAAAGAGATATGGTATCAGAAAGAGTTTACTTGATGAGCCTAACAGCAGACGGGACACAGCAGAAGTGATCAGTAAGCTCAGAGACAAGTTGGTAGAAATGATACAAACTGATTTACAGAGAAAATGAATTTAGGGGAAAAAAAAAAAAAAAACAACCAGAAACGTGCGCCATCCAAAATATGGGGCAATATCAAATGGTCTAACACACATGTAATTGGAGACCCAGAAGAAGAGAAAGCGAAAGAATAGGGCAGAAGAGATATGGATGAGAATGTTTGGATGTCAGTGACAGTTATCAACCAACAGATATAAGAAGCTCAGCAAATTCCAGAAAGTATAAGTTAAAACCACATCATAATAAAACTGCTAAAGGAACAAAGATAAATAGAAAATCTTAAAAGGAACAAGATAAAGAAAAAAATCTTAAAAGGAGTAAGAGGAAAAATGCACATTATGTAAAGGGAGGGGACAATGTTTAGAGTGACAACTGACTTCTCATCAGAAGCAGTAGAGACCAGAAAATGATGTATAAAGTGTAGAAATTACCATTCTATTATTCTGTAACCAATGCAAATATCCTTCAAAAACAAAACTGAAATAAATATATATTTTATTCAGACAAAATCTGAGAGAATTAGTCTTTATGCAGACCTGTACTACAAAAAAATGCTAAGATTTAGGCTAAAGGGAAATGTTGGAAACCTGGATCTGCAAGAAAAAAATCAAGATTATCAGAAAAAATAAATGTGAGATTGAATATAAAAGGTCATTAAATATTATATGTCTATATCTGTTTGTTTAAAAGATTGTTTAAAATTTATTATGGTGTTTATAACCTATGTAAGGATAAAGTATGTAACTAAGAGCCCTAAATGTGGAGGGGTAAACGGAATTACATTGTTGTGTTTTACATTGCTTATGAAATACTATGTTATTTGAAAGTAGATTGTGATGAGTTAAGGAGGCAAATTGTGATTTCCAGTAGCCATCAAGAATAGCACATAGAAGAGAGAAAATGGAATCCTAAAATAATAATTACTTGATTATCCCAGAAGAAGGCAAGAAAGGAAGAACAAAGCAAGAAAGAACAGAAGGGACACATCAAATACCCAGATGTCAGAAGTAAACCCAACCTTTATCAATAATGCTTCAAATATAAACATTTTAAATACCCTCTTAAAAAGCAGAGATTATCAGGCTAAATTAAAAAATTAAGTGAATCTGAAGTATGTGCATTTTAAGGATGAAGATAACAAATTTAAAGAAAATTATGGAAAAAAATATTCCCGACAAAGTATAAGAAAGCTGGTATGGTTATGTTAATATCAGATAAAGTAGATTACATTAATAAAATAGATAAAGGACATTTTATAGTAATAAGAGGGTCAAGACCACCCAATCTTAAATGTGTGTGTACCTAATACAAGGGCTCCAAAGTACATGACTAAAAACAGCCAGAACTAAGGGAAGAAATAAGCAAACCCAAAGTCATAGTTGGACATTTTAACGAGAACCCCTCAGTGATTGAAAGAACAAGTAGACCAAAAAAAAAAAATCTGTGAGTATACAGAAGGTTGGAACAACACTACCAGCCATTCTGATTAAATGGATCTTTATGTACTAAACTCCCAAACTGTAGAATACACATTCTGTTAATTTCCTATGAAACATTCATCCAGATGGAACATCTGGTAGACCATAAAATAAGTTTGAAAAGATTAATATACAGCACGTGATGATGAGATAATAGTCTTTTTAGATAATTCTCAAATATTAGAAAATCAAGCAATATCTTTTAAAATAATCCTTGGGTCAAAGAAGAATTCAAAAGGGAAATGAGGAGCCGTTTCTCACTGTGTGGTGGTCAACACAAGATACCAGCATCTTTGTGGGATTTAGTTAAAGAAGTGCTTTGAGGGAAATTTGTAGCTTTAAATGCTTATACTAGAAAAAAAAAAAAGAAAGATTTAAAAATCAGGAGCACATTCCTCAGGTGAGCCCTCCGTGTTGCTCAGCAACCTGCTGTAATTTTTTGTTAATTAGTTTTTATGGTCTTGGAGTGCTTATTTCATGCCTTGGCTTTCCACTCACACTTCCCTGCTAATAACGACTGTGCTTCTTACTTCACTGGTAAAATAAAAGCAATCGGAGAAGTAAACATCCCCCTTCTGCAGACCACCCCACTGACAGGCCTCTGCCTATCCTGTGTGCCCTGCCGCCCTCCT